TCCGCAGAACCAGGTCCGTGGCAGTGGAGCTGCTCGTGCGAACGGCTCTGCTAATTCCCTGAATGGAGACGTAGGCCAGGATGCCTTTCAGGATATTATTTAGTGATAGGGAAGCCAAACAATGCTTTTCAGGAAGCACGCGTGTGAGAGTTTACAGYAAAATACATGAGTGTCTCTCCTTTGGTGTAAGAATTATTATTTTGTGTGTATGTTAAAGACAAACTTGCACAAGCGGCGCTCTGTCTTGCAGCAGCTGGTGGCTGCAGCCTCGCTTCTTACAGGTAGGATTAAAGTATCCCATGAAAACTGCAGTGTAGGTTTCGTGATGATTTCTAAACATGAGCTTCAGTTGTGTCCTGAAATATCCTATACAAACGCTAAGGCTCTCAGGGACTCGTTTAGCCATGGCTTATACGGTACACAGCGCAATGCAACGTACTGCTCCTCTCAAAGGAGGCTTCCAAGAGCGAGAAAACAGCTGCAGATAGATATATATATGTATCTTTTAAATTCACTTACTTGCTTTCAGATGTTTCTTGGCCCAAGATAGTTTTACCTAAGATAACTGAATGCTGCAAAAATAGTCGAGTATTTTAGCATCTTCTTCATTCAGTCTCATCATTATCTGTGACTGCAGAGCGTGCTCTCACCGTGGAAGTGGTTTCATGGCTGTGGCAAACCGGCCTCATCAAACACAGCTAGGAGTGGGGACCAAAAATAAAAGTAGTGACCCGGGAAGCTGGGAAGAGCAGGGTGCTGGTAACGGAGCATGGGCACGTTGGAATGAAGGGGGTGAAAGGAGTCCCTGGTTTCGCCAGCTCCAGTTTGGAGMGTACAGTCGTGTGTCCTCCTGAAGAATGAAAAGGAAATCAATGGTGGAAATAAATTTCAGCCTTGCTTGCCTTCATGCACTTGCTTGTCATCCTTCCTACAAGCACTTGGGTTCTGTTTGTGTTATTTTAACACAGCGACTACTCCAGGCCATGATGTTCTGTGTATGAAACTGCTATTTGCTCTAAGACAGGAAGGCTGTTTAAATATATTAAGTGTCAAAGGGTCATTTTAGAAAATGAGAGAGAAATGGCTATGATATGACTGCCCCATAACCTCATATACTGGTGGGACTATGTGTGTCACCTGCACTTGGCAGTAAATTCAGGCCAGCAAAGTAGAATACGGCAACACAATACTGGTGTACTAAAATAGGGATCAGGTTTTTATGCCAGGAAATTTTAGTTTGCTCTGTGCTGGAGTATTTGGAATTGGGAAGATTTTTTAAATTAAAAACAAAATTTGTCCACACTTTATATGTCACTTCTTTTTTTTTTCTTTATTTTTTTTCAATTACACAGTAAAGAGAACAAAGGGAAAAGGTTATAGCAGTACTTTCTACAGCAAAATAAAGTCTGATTCTTTTATATTTATTTTCCAAAAAAGCAGAGGGGTTTATAAAACAGAAATTGGAGCTTTAGATACGTGTAACATGCCTAGAGAATAGTGGAACAAAAGTAGGTGCTGCCTTTTTACATATATTCTCTTATATATTCTATTAATATGTTAAACTTCTAGGTCAGTCTATGATTACACAGAATCACAGGGTGGTTGAGGTTGGAAGGGACCTCTGGAGATCATCCAGTCCAACCCCCTGCTCCAGCAGGGACACCCAGAGCACGGGGCACAGGGCGGCATCCAGGCGGGTTTGGAAGATCTCCAGCCTAAATCCTGACCTGCTTTATGCCATGACAGTAGGAATATGAGGAGTAGGGTTACTTGGTTATTTTTTATTTTCAGAGGTTGTCTTCATTTGCTTATATCTTAGTCATACTGAAATTTGCCATGATGAATGTGTTTGAGCGGGGTTATGCTGGGAAGTTTAGGCTAAAATGATTCAGCATTTTGAAAATTAACATTAAGAGAAAGTAAATGGGACAATTTAAAAGAGAAAGAAATGTTTGATTAGTTTATTTAAAGTATCCAAGCCTGAGAGGTCGAATTTAGGACTGCAGACAAGGGGATCTGTGTATTTCTGTTCCTAGAGAAATGTTAGCAAATTAAAAACTCTTGAAAAACTGGTTTCATAATATAATTTGGCAAATATTTCATGCAATGTGAGTATCTTCCCATCTGCTGGTCCTTACGTGTCACCTGCCTGGGCTGTCATCGCCTGGACCAAGTAGTTAGACACGATGCATCACACACAAGTAGGTGACGGGTAAGTCTAATGCTAAATAGCCTGTCCTTAACTCTGCTTCTCCCCTACCCCCAGTGCTGGAGTGGAGAAGGGGGGTGAGGTGGGAATGGTTATTGAAGCTGGAAATGCAAAAGGCCCCTGAGAAGGATGGTGCTGGCCAAGTTAGTGAAGGGTGGGAAGCAGAGATGGTGAGAGAGGTCAAGAACAAGCCGAGCATCCATGTGGAAGCAGCACCAGGAGAGAGGAATAGAAGCCTGAAGATCGCGGTGACAGCAAGTAGGGAAATCAGAAGGCTGAGAGGGGATCTGATTCACATGTCTAAGTTCATGAAGGGGGAATGTAGGAGGAAGGGGCCCAGCTCTTCTCAGTGGTGGCCAGTGACAGGACAAGGGGCAATGGGTGCAAGCTGCAACACAGGCAGCTCCATCTCCATGTGAGGAAGAACTTCTTCCCTGTGAGGGTGCCAGAGCCCTGGCACAGGCTGCCCAGGGAGGCTGTGGAGTCTCCTTCTCTGGAGATCTTCCAAACCCGCCTGGATGCCGCCCTGTGCCCCGTGCTCTGGGTGTCCCTGCTGGAGCAGGGGGTTGGACTGGATGGTCTCTAGAGGTCCCTTCCAACCTCAGCCAGTCTGGGATTGTGTGAAATAAGGGAGCATGAGGCTCAATGGCAGCGTGAGCAGAAGAGTGCAACACAACATAYTGCATGCAAGAGCTAAGTGAAGTGATTGCTTCTTGTTCACCATTGTTTTACTGTTTGCCACGTAGCTRTGGACAACATAGAAGGGAGAAGGAAGAATTTTTGTGTACTTTAAAAGCTTTAGGAGAAGAAAACTATTTGTGTTAAGGKCTAAACATCACAGTAAAATTAAGTTTGTGTTTGACCAAATTGTAGGGTGAAAGGGAAAAAAAAATGATGCTGGAAAAATCTTTGACCAAAGGAGAAGTGCAGGAGCAGAGACACTTTGTCATTTTAGTTGATTTGATTAGTCCAAGTTAATGACTGGATAATTCACAGGCTCAAAAGTCAATTCAAAAACTATTATTTCTGAAATCAAGAAGGGCATAAAAATGAAATCATTGACAACAGAACATATTAATCTTGATGAAGTGTTTAAATGTAGAGAGATTTTCTTGGGTATTAGGCATTTTAAGCTTACTTAAAATGCAGTTATTAATCAACTAAAACTGGTCTTTCTTCCTTTAATTGCACGTTGGCGTCATTAGGACAATTTGCCATAGAAAGAAACATTAGAAATTGCTGTAATTCTGTAATAAAACTGCTGAAAAATATGAATATAAGCATGTTAAGTGATACCTTACACAAGCCATTTGCTAACCCTGTAAATTATTTAATAGCAATAAAGCACTGGGAGATGGGTGCTCATTTGTTGTCTTCTTCGTGAAAATAACTGCAGAGTATAAACAAAGGCAGATTAATTTTGATCACAGTTTATTGGGTGTTGATGCAAACCAGAACAAAATTGGATTTTGTGTTGCTTTGGGTAGATTGATTTGGCAAGATGGGAGCAAATAAGTGTCTCCCTCCAGGACTAAGAGATCCACATAGATGTTCACGTGGACATTCCGAAGGTTTAGATGGCAGGAGATCAGGACTGTGTGTCTAGCACATGCAAACCTGTTGTTTATCCACGTGGAGTGCTGGCAGAATGCGGAGGGTGAAGTTTAGGCGTTTATTATCTGGAACATGTTCTATGAAGTTTTATTTGAAAAACTAATTAAATAGAAATTGGGAAAGTGATGCCAGAATGGGTTCTAGCTGTGCAGTTGTTGTGCCCCCTCCGCTATGTGTAGGTTTTTATTACTAGTATAATACAGTCCTTTTATCACTATAGCAGCACATTAGAAACTTCTGATTTGGGGCCTAAGGTGTCATGATCGGAGTATTTTGGGTYGCTCTTGAAGGAAAAATGTTACTTGTCCGTTCTGCCGTAAGCAGGTTATGTGTGAGGAACCGTGACTTGTGTTCTGGGGTTCACRAGGAAGAACCATAAAACTCCTGTCATTTGTAGTATTGAGGACGTGGCAGGAGAAGATAGCCAAAGGAATCTGCATTTGCTCTGTGGATAGTGGGAGTGAAGGAGGGAGCAATGGGAAATAGTTCTAMTCTCTCATGCCCTAATGCCTCAGCAGTTTTGGAGCAATTAGAAAAATAAGCTTTCTTTTCCCCAAGTTTTGTTTTCCCTTTTTAATCCAAATTTCTTTCTCATCCCCTTCATTCCTTATTGCTGCTTTAGGGAGTTAATAAAGCAGCATCGGATCACAGTGTGAAATGAGCAGGAGAAACTGAGGTGCTGCAGGAGGTTTCTTGGATGTGAGAATCCTCCGATGGTTACAAGAGGAAGGGTTAATTCTCCAGCTAGGGGAACAACCTCAGCGTTTGCTCTGCTGTGCTGCGAGTGACTTGGAGCCCGGCTACCGGCGCACGAGGTGACATTCCTTGTGGCTAGATGGGATAGGATTCCTCAACTCGATTGCTGGTTTTAGGCCCTTGGTCTGTAGGCTGGGTCTTTCTCTGGCAGATGTCATCCATGTCGTTAAGAAGCCCTATGGTAAATTGGAGATTAATAAGCCGTGGTTATGCCCGCTCCCCAGGAAATCTGCTGATGGAGGCAGGAAGGTCATAGGCAAGGTTAAGGAGCTGAAGTTTGTTTAGCAAAACAAAAACAAACACCCAAATGCCCTTAATTCTGCTCTCATTGTTTTGCCTTGAGGAATTTATATCAACTTATGCTTTTGTAATATTTGTTTTAGCAACTACTGCATACCCAAGCTCCGAGTGTGAAGTGGTGCATTTTATAGCACCCATGTGCAGTACTTCTGAATAGGAGAATTTCCAGAACTGCCTTCAAATAGCGAAAACAAAGTTTCCTCACTGAGTGCCGACCAGTAGAAGGATTCGTATCGTCATGTGAGCTAATTTGTTGTTTGTCCATCTCTGTAACATGATATGCTGATGTTTGGAAAATAAAACTCTATGACAAATGTACTTTATATGCCTTGCTATCAAATAGAGTGGTTTGTAAAAAAGGGCGATCAAGATCAGTGGAATAATAAAGCRGTGCCTATAGCACCAGAGGGGTCTTGCTGCATACAGTCACTGTTGCCTAATGTATGTCCGAAGTTGCACTGGCRTTGGAAGGTTAGTGACAGGTATGAATGTAGTCTGTACACTGAAGAAATTCAGTGTTAGCAGTGGCTTTTATTGATTTGTGTTTTCAGTTTCTTAAAGTATAAAATTCATTTTTAATCTAACCTCGTATTTTTATTCAAGTATAAATTACTTGATTGCATCACCAAGGGGAAAAAAAGTGATAGAAAGTTAATTTTACTGCAACAAATGTCAGGCTTGCGGCTTTCTTAGGGCTTGTCTCCTAAGGAAGCTGGCAGCAAAGCTGATCTATATTAACTATTTAGCTCTGTGCAGTAGTCTAACTCCTCGAGGCTGGTTTAGTATTCCTGAGCATCATCGTTCTGAAAGGATTTTTCTAAATAATGACTGTACTTGATAAGTACGTAAGATAGAGGAAATGAAAGCCACCTTGCTGCTGAATAAGAAGAATTACCTTCCCATTCAGCACAATGTTAATGCACTTCACTATATTTGCATCAACTTCACATTAACTTAYATCTCTTGATTTACTGACTGTCTCTTTGTAGGCAGGTTGATGGAGATAGGCATCCATTGCAGAAGAGGAAGAATGAATCTCTGCTGACGTTGTARTGGCTTCCTCATTGCTCTTTGAATCTGTGAACATATCCATTTATCTTGACTTTTTAATGTATGCTAATATTTGTGTATATATAAACATATGCGTAAGGGTTTTTTTTTTTTTAACTAGCTGATATGTGAAATGAAAGAATGACTGAACAGAGAGGGTTCCTTACAGTTTGGCTGAATAARGTATTTTACTTTTTAGTGAAAGCTTAAGTTGCAATACGTCTTTCACATGACAAAGAAAGCACTGCTTATGGTTTATGCTTATGGTTTCATAGTTAGGTATTTTCTTCGTGATGGTAATAAGACTTTAAAGCTTGTCTGCAAGAGGAGGAAAATGGGAAAAAAAAATAGCGAGCATGGACTCCACAGTGCCTTGGTAAAGATGCTATCTCCATCCGTACCTATCTTGGTACCTATCTTGGTAGCATCTTGGTAAAGATGCTATCTCCATCTGTGCCTCTTGTCCCTGTGAGGATGCATGGGAAGGCATGACGTGGAGCTGCAGGTCTTTGTTGTCCCATCTGGAATGCTTTTGGGTAGACATTGTAGCGTTAGCTGTATCAGGTGCCTTTTGGAGGACCGCAGTGCCCTTCCTGCAGTGTCCTCTGGTTCCTTCTCAGCCAAAGCCTCTCCTCGGTGGCATCTTCCACGTGCACCTGCATTTCATTCACACCTCACACTCTGCCCCTCTCTGGTATCTCCTGCAGCAAGGCCTGGAATTTAGCCTATTTGCAGAGCTTCAGTTGAAGGCTTTGTAGGCGAGGGCTGTTTTCTTCTTTACTCCTGACGTATTTTGAGCAGTCAGATCTAGCAGCAGGGGCGCTATTGGATCTTTCCTACAACTGTTTCTGAATGGAGGAAAGAAGTTTTTTTCAGGTTTGCAAAGATGTAGTRGTTTGTTATAGCAGAGGCCTCAGCACAGTCAAGGAATGGATCATCTCTAGTTGTCTGTCACTGATCAGCGTTCAGAAGATGRTACGAAATAAGAAGTGTTTTGAAGTAGCCCAGTAAGCTGAGGTAGGTGAAAGTAAGTGTCAACATTAGAGAAGTTAAGTACTGTATGAAAAAGGCAGTAGGAGGTACAGTCACCTTTCAGAAGAGAATGTAGAAGTTCCAAAAGGGAGAGAGCCCCTTGTTTGGGGCTATAAATCTTTGACAGTAGTAAGGCAGAAAGCGGTAAGAACTAACGTGTCCTCTAGAAGCCCTTGAGGCTTCAAAGACAGGTGTACCAGGGCAGCCTGAGGTTCGTTCAGCTCAATATTGCATCTCTAACAAATGATTAAAGCAATATACTGCCTGATAACTCCCCAAAGCATCTTCCTAGGCTTTTACAGCCTGAGACATTGCTGATGTGTAATACCCCTTAACATGTTTGTTTTACTGCGGGCATGTCAAAAAATGCTTCAATGCTACACGTAGCTCAACTTTGGTTTTTGACTTTAAATAACGGCCTTATTTCCACTTTCAAAAATGCTGATTTGGCATTATTTTCCTTTCTATTCTTACTTTTGGCAAAACTAGGAACACAGGAACTTTGAGCACTTTTCAGATGGCCTTTCTGCAGCGCTGGTGTCTGTGAGCTCCCCTCGGCTGACCTTGCTGGACGGAAGCGTGGCTCTGTGTGTCTGCTCAGATGGCCCCTCTTGGGCTGCCTGCTTTCCTTGGTGCTCTCTGGGAGCTGTGCTTYCGAAATGCCTTTTCATGATCTTTGCATTACTACCCTTGATTGTAGCCTTAGGGTATCAAACTATTAAATGTAGCTTTAAATAATTTTCAATGATAGTTTTTGGAAAACTTTTATTTTTTTTAAATGATTGAATAATTCTGTAGTGGTACCTGCCTTGTCAGAACACGACACCAGTAATGTCTCACATTCCTCCTTATATTCTGTGGGGATTTGTGCTTTGTCAAAGCAGTGCATTACTTGATCAAATCAATAAATAGAATACTTTCCGTTGTTGCTATCAAAGTGTGGTTATGAAGGGGACTGAAATTYAAAATGTGACCTTTTTTGTCTGCATATTTGTTTATTTACATGGAAGGATTTCATTTTAAACACTTCTGAGCTGTTATTTYGTTTTACAGTTTTACTTGGGGATGTGCCTTTGCAATCTAAGCAGGCAGGTGGTAAGCCATGGAGTATAATATACAGGTTCTGTATTCACCAAAGGGCAAGTCAGCAGTCCAACTGTTGACCTTCTCTTGCAAGCGTCAGCAAAGAGGAGAATTTATCATGCATGTTTATCATTGGCAAAGAGGAGAATGAATAAGATAAGTGGAAGTTCCAACAATAGCAAGGGATGGAGGGTTAGAGGTAATTAAAAATACCAATACCTTGTTCTGGTCAGTTTACCTAAACTTTGGAAGAAGAGCATAATGAAGTGAAGTCTTTTGGGTTTTTTAGGTTGTAGTCAGTCTCAGGAAGTGTGTTCTGTATTGTTGCCTCCTCCTGAATCTCTCTCTGTTATTTCTTAGGTTTCTGGCCACTACCTTGTGCATCAGTAGAATTTGCTCTGCAAAAACAAGATAATGGCCTCTTCAACCAGCTGAAAGAAAGAGGTGAGCAGCTTTCTCACAGTCAGTATTCTGTCTGCTTTAGAAAACGGTCTGCAGTGGAAACAAACCTCATTACATGCTTTAATGAAAAGTGAAACAGGTTCTAGATACTTTCCATGTGTCTAACAGGCTTGTGCTGCCTTGCATGTGAATATGAGGATGTCTGTTGTGCAGTAAACRTCGGTGCTCAAGAAGGGACAAACGGCCCGTACTGAATCCTGCAGGCACCATTTTTCCTCTAACAGTAGTTACTGCTGAGTACTTCAAAAGAAGGTATATAGGGAAAAAGATTATAAGGAACAATTATGTGCTAACAAGTCTGCTGGGTAGTTTCTTCGCAGCCAGAAGACAATTAGTGGTTGGTTTATACCCTGGAGCATAACTATTTATATCTCTTGCAAACATCTGTTGTAGCTTGTATATCTTAAAAATGATATTTCTGAACTCCAACACTTTACTTGCACCTTATGTTAACATTACTGGGTGGTCCCTTTGCTTTTAATTATGAAGGAGTAAGTAGACCAAGTGAGGAGTGATGTACATTAAATAATGACTTTGTGTACATGTTTCAGCTCACCTTTAGTCTTTTTSAAGTTAATCTTTTTTAAGTTTTTTTAAGGAAAACTTAGATAACTCTTAACTTGTACAAAGTTTCCTTAATTCGGATTATGATTACTCCCTTTAATTTAGCTTCTTATTTCTACTGCATCTGACAAGTTTGTCCTTTTATTAAAAGCTTGTTTTTTTTTTCTCCTTTTACTTTGTTTTGCAGAACATAGTGCTTATGTGAATTCTTTTGCCACAGATGTCAGTGAAGTTTCTGAATGCAATTGGCTTCCATGTGTTGGCTTCCAGTTTATGTGACCTTAAACATTGCCTTGGATTTTCCTCATGCCTTGTTGACAAAATAAATACAATGAGAGTTAATTTTGTTCTGCATGAAGCTGGCTGATGCAGTCAGCCTCAGGTTGTTTTTGTTATTTGTGACTCTTTGAATGCAACACAAGTGCGCTGTTTTCCTTCTGCTCTCGGTTTCTCTTAGGAAGAATAATTGGAATTTTTAAAGCAAGGCTGTCCAGCAATCCTGTGTGCTTAGGCCTACTGCAGATACCTTAAGCCACAGAGTGTTGGCTCTGGCTGTTCTGGTTAAAGATGGTCCTGCTGTGAGCTGATAATCGCCATGCGTGAGCCCGAAATTACCACACGAATAGGTCAGCCAAGAGCAGGGGTTGTGCGAGTGCAGTGTGCTTCAGACAACGTCAGCTGCTTTACATCAGAGCCACCTCCAACGGGGGGTTGAGTAGGGGGTTACATAGTGCCGGCCCTGTGTAACAGGGACCAGGAGAGGCTCTCATGTTCCTGCGAGCTCGGGGTGGAGCTGTGGAAATAACTAGCTCTGGTGGGGGGGATCAACATCTGGCCTCTGGTGGGGGGGATCAACATCTGGCCGCGAGAGCGGCTGCAGCGGCGTCGCTCGCTGGGCCCGCGTGCCCTGTCCCCACTTGGATGACAGAAGCTGATGAATACCTGCATTTTCCATCATTTTTGCTTCATTTCTAGCCTACTCTGTCACTAAAACTAGATTTTTTCCTCTTTAGTCAACAAAAAGTGATTCCTCGGTTAATTGCCTGAGCTGAAGCATGTGGTTAGCTCAGTTTGTTCTTGATTTGCAGCAGTTGTCTTCACTAAGTCTCATCAGTCGCTATCTTGCTCATAATCTCCTTCACCTGTAATTGTAAGTGAGAAGTAAAGCTTTTATGGGAAATAAAGGCTATTCTGGCTATTGTGGACAGGGCTAAAGCCCTTTCAGGTGAAATCATCTGTAGATGTAGCTCAAAATTAATTGTTCACCTGTTCCTTTGTATGGCCTGGGGTGGGGTGGGAGGTGTCCAAAGGTGGAATGTCTCTTCTGTACGGGAATCTTGCTAGAAGGGTCATCAGCAGCAGTTTAAATCTGTTACCATCAGATCTTGGTGCTTCTATATCTTTATGCTGTTCTTTGTGCCACTAATATTATTTCACAGATCTATGAACTTTAGGTTACTCTAAAGAGACCATGCTTAAACTCTTTACCTCTTCCCAGTCATTTCTGACTAAGAACTTCCATCTTTGTCCCAGCTACAATTTCTTTAATAGCCTTTTGAGATGAACTTCTTAAACCTCTAAAATAATCACTAAATAACATATACTGTTTTTCTTGTTACTTTATTTTTTTTTGACAAGTCCAAATGTTTYTTAACCATGATGATAGTTTGGTTTGTACTTCTGGTATCACATAAGGAAATATCATTGCCTTTTGGGAAAGAGGAAAGCTGGTTTTTGCAAGATACTTGGGCTTTGCTGTTGTGGCAAATGCTGATTTTAAACGTTAACGTTGAATGATTGAGGTCTATAGGCATGAGATCTATATGCTTCTATCAGCAAGAAAATTTATGTCTACCCTATTTTTTTTCTTTTAGTGGAGAAATCAGTAAGTTCTGTGAGTTTCAAAGAAAAACGRTACTGATGTAGGAACAGATACTGAGTGACAGTTCAGTGGAGTCTATGAAAGCCCTTCAAGCTCAGCAGGGACCTTCAGCAAATACATTTCACAGTGGGATTCAAGTTATAAAACCAAGACAAACGTAGCAAGAACTTTGAAATGTTTCTTGTTATTTTTGGTTTCATAGTGCAATAGTAAAACCATAAATGACATTCATGTATTGTATTTCATTTCATTTACTGTGTTTGGATTTTAGCTTAAACAAGTATTTTTTAGCTAAATCTCTAGAAAATAGGTGAAGGCTCACTTAAGAAGTTTCTGCTTTTATAATTCTTTTCATTTTGTATTTTACTGTTTTTTTCCCCTTGCAGTGTTTGTGCAAGGTGAGAACATCTTGATTGCCCTTTGTTTTGAGAGGAAAATGTATACAAGGAGCAAGTGTTGATTGAATTTGCCTATTTTTCTGCAGAGTCCTTCAGTGATCAGTCTTTTAATTGATTTCTCATTAATATTAATGACAACTGCATCAAATCTGGAAGTAGAATAAAGCTTATATATTTGTATGTAATGAATGTGATGTAAAGTTCAGTTTTGGCAAAAAAAAAAAAAAAAAGAAATTAGGAAACAAAAAATTAAACCCTGAGTAAACCTGAATAACRAAAGTGTGTTTCTCTGGCTGAACTGGGAGCCTAGTTAAGCTAAGCAAAATCATAGAGCAGCATTTGGGAGACCAGATCAGATGGTTACTGAGATATTTCATAGTTTTTGTTTTTTGATTTTTTTTTTCCTTTTAGCAGTAGAATTAGAATTTACTGTAAGTTATTTACTGTATAATTTGAGATTTTAGAAAGCAGACACAGTAGAAAGGAAACTGTAAGTCATGTAGTTGGGAAAGAGGAATGTGTGCTAAAGACAAAATGTTACTGGAAGTATGAAATGCAAGAAAGGTTACTCATCTGCCTTAGGTGAATTGAAAGGAGCCTCATCTTTTCCAAAGAAAATATAAGGATTGTGAAATCCCCTTTGCCTCTCGGGGGAAGAGGGGGGTCTGTTCCTGGGAAGCTGTTGAAGTAGTCTAAGGAGTAATACTTGTATAAAAGTATGAAAAGTTATTGTTTATGCCCGTGTTGACATGAGCTTAAGTATTAGAGCAGGTTTTAGACTTCATCAGCTCTGTCAGTGTTTTTCTGGTGCCTTAGTGATAACATAACTAAGTGTGTATCATGGGGAAATCCAGAAAGACTAGTAAAGCTGCAGGACAGAAAGGATGTTAGTGTCTTTCTCACCTCTAGTTTGTGGGAAAAAAATAGATTAAAAAAAAAAAATGATGGGAGGTGCTTTAACTCGCATATTGGTGTTTTATGTTGATGTACGCTAAAAATAGACTCAAACTCCAGAATCTCGCCGTGTTTCCATGTGATGGTTTTGGCTTGTGAAGGTGCAATTTCTGCCAGGCTGTTCTTAGGAGACTTATGCCATTTTGAATGAAAACATTGCCAAGTACTCCGTTCTAACRAGATATTTATTGCCACTGCAATAGAACTAGAAAATCCGTCTGCTAAAGCTATTAGAAGAATCTTGCAGCGTATCTTTCTATCTCTAAAGAGCTGCAGTTACTTAAAGGTGCRTGTTGTCCACAGATAGAGGCTGTGCAAGCACCTAGTCCAGGGCCAGGACCAAGATCTGCTCTGTCTGTTCATACGGGTGTTTCCCAAGGTACCTCTGCTCGCATCAGGTGCCATAGACTCCCAAAGAGCAGCCACTGCATTAAGGAATTAGTGAGTAAAACACAATGAGCGGAGTGTAAAGGGAGCCAGTTACATGGTTATGATGAAGTGCTTTGATCTTCAAACTASGAAAACGGGGTGTTGCAGTTACCCGTAGGAAACCCGTTTTTAACAGTTCTGCCTAAAGTAGGGCTCAAGGTTTGTCCTGAGGTTGTGGTTTGTCTGTGTGCCCAAAACTGCCAAGTAAACAGAGAAGTGAATCTTGAAGTCTGATGTTGTGTTTCCCAAATGAAACATTTTACTTGAGACTGTTCTAATCTGTAGGGAAAAATGCCCAGAATGTAAAAATTGCCCTTCAAAATGGTCACGCGCAACCACAATTGTGTTGCATACAGCAAGGTTGTGAACAAGGGGGAAAGGAYGTCATTTGAAAACAATGGAAACATCATTTTGTAGTGATTAAACCCATTACAAAAAAAGTAGTTTTAGAGTCTGATCTTTAGCTGGTKAAAATTCTAGTACCCAATTGTGTGTTACTGATACAGGTGGAAATGTGCAGAAAATCTGGAAGGAAGTCCTAGATGCAGTCCTTTACAAGACATGAACTCTGGCCTGTTTTTTAAATATATATATATMTAWAAAATGTATATTTTTATAATGGCTAGAGCTTTAGGACTCCTACTTGTCAAGGGAAATTGAATGCTGTGATAATATTTAGCAATAATGGCTTAATGTATTATGCAATTCGGGTTGTAATGCCTGATAACCTGCCAAGAAAACAAAATGTAAATTGTTAGTTTGATGGATAAACTTTTGTTAGTTTGATGGATAAACTTTATTTAATGGTAATGTTACACTAATTCTTTTTTTTGTCTTGAAAAGATATTTAATGTAAGTCTTGAACTGCAGCTAATGTGCAGAGGAAATGGCATACATAAACTGTTTGTATCACAAATACCACTAGAATTAATATTTGGAAAGCTTCAAATATCTATAAAAATGAGACTTCTGAGTCCCTAAGTCATTTTTTAAATTATGTATTCATATAGGCTAAGTTTAAAGGTTGTTAGGTATTGTTCCATTCTTCACTGGTGCCTATATGGCTTAGATAATAAATGTCAGATTTCAGAAATGATATGGGACTTCGATTTCTGAAGGGTAATTTCAAGCATTTGAGTMTATAGGATTAATAGTCATAAGTATATAGAGTATTTCTGTACAGTTTTAGAGTGCCAGTTTTAGACAATAATTGTTTCAGTTATTGTAATGTTCAGCATACAGTTAGCCTTTTCAAAACACAGAAAGGTAAATCTTAGTTTTTTTTGGTGTTTTATATATGGCTTTACAGTAAGTTAGTTGAAGTAGTGCAAAAATAAATGTTTACCTGAAGTTTCTGAGTGTAACCTCATTCTTACAGTAAAAATATTGAGTCAAAATGTGAATGAGTACAATGAAATCTTTATTGATTAACTTTCCGTGATTTCCAACATGGCATTTTCTGAAGAAAATGCACGTAACTATTACATTGTCAATAAGCTAATTGATATTTTTGTGCTTAAATCTTAGTAATTTTTCATCTTTTAAAGCTGAGTTTTAAGTAAGTTTTGTAACTGACTTTTTTTTTTTTAGTGTATTTGTCCTCATTTATGATGATTTGACATAATTAGCATTTTGCTAACCATGATGGCAACACAGACATTAAGTATAGACAACTATCAGGATGGACAACAGGTAAGTCTCTTTTTTCCTTCTCTCTGAATCAATACAATTAAGTGAGAGGAAGATGTAGTGATTTTTCTTTGGTGCCTGCTTTGGCATTATTTAAGTATCTCATGTTGGTTTTAAAAACAAGATTTTTAAAGTCACAGACTAACATGTAATACCTGGACACTTGTGTTAAAGGTTTAGCTAGGCCTTGCATAACTTTGCTTAACTTTTGGAAAATTGCTACACGAGGAGTTTTTCTTCTGAAGCTGCCCCAGATGATTTCTCCCATGCTGTAATGCTCCAATTTTAGGGAAGTTAAATGGTTCTTCATAATATTTTTTATATGGACTCCTGTGCTTCTGTATTCGGAGTGACATTTAAGCAGTGATAGGCATGTTGGTCCTCAGCAAGTGAAGTATAAATTTAGTTATCTAGAATTACATGGCAACAACCTCATGTAAGCTGCTACAGTCATGCTGCAGACTCAAGGSTGGTAAAATACTTCATTCAAGAACCAAAACAAAAGTAATAATTGGAATTAAAACATTGGTCAGTGATCTTTCATGCYTTTATTTCTGTTACAAGGAGCTAAACAGCTAGAATAATAAAACATACTTTTTCAGATGTGTCTGGTCACGATACTGTTTTTCTTTTTTTGTACAACAGTCTGCATATTGCAACAATTTGAGTTACTAAATTAAAATAGTATTAGCTGTAGGCAAGTCATACCCTGCACTGTGCTCTAAAGATCTGTTTTTGTGTTGTTATGTGTCAGCACAAAGCCGTAAATACAAGTACTTCTGTCAGCAGATGGCAACAGTGGTGAACACTCAGAAGGAAAAAAAGCAACTTTTTCCATCTCTCATAAGCAGATGTTTGTYTGACATCAGTCGGGATTTACCTATTTTTGTATGTCTGTTTGCAGCTTTTTTTTTAATGAATTGTAATTTGTTGCTCTTCTCTCACCTACCTTAAATTTTTGCTTTATTTCCCACGAACTACATGCTTTCCTCTACCATGCTACGGTAATAGGTGCTTTTGCAAAGAGCAAGTTGGGGAGAGCGTTTTCTTCCCATTTCTTTTACAGCTGAGCTCACAGTGACCCACATAGGCAGGTAATTTGGTGCCTGCTGCTTCTGCATTTTGGAGAGGCCCCTCAAGAAACAGCTTGCAGTTTTAAGCGAGCTATTTCCTCGCAGCAAGATCGCCTCCACCTTCATGCTCTGCAGATGTATGGCATGACATGAGTCATCCCCTTTTGTTTTGCCCCTCCTTCCTCTCCTTAGCCAAGCAGTGAGTTCACTGCTTACAGCTTTTCTGCGAGCACTCTGGCATAAAAACCAGCGGCGCTCGCTGAGGAAGCGCCTTGCAAAGCGGGATGCTCTGCTGGCCTGGATACTTTGTCATTTACTTTGCTGTTTAGCTAGAAGGTGGCTCGCCCCTGTCAGGTAATAAAGCACAAGGCTCCCGATTCCCTCAGGCCCTTGCTGCGATAGTGTAGATTTTTTTTGCTTACACTGTGTAGAAGTAGGGGCAGATCTGTCAGGATCAGATGCTCAGGAAGGTTTTGGAGGCCAGCTCCTCTCTAGAGGAGCTGAGAGGTCCTGAGAGGTGACATGATGTATTTCAGGGGACGAGCAGGGAGGCAAGGCCTGCTCTACACTCAGCTCATTTCTGAAGGTGCTAAATCCGCCTTCACAGTGACATGTAGAAGAGCTTCTCCTTTCCGATCCAAACTCACCTTACAGTAGGTGAGAATTGCCTCTGTATGGATATAGCCAGTGGTCAAAGGGGAGAAGACTAAGGATTTGCCTTTGTTCGCTTTGTTTTGAAGGGAAACTGTGATGCTCAGGGGCCGAGTCCCTTAAGATACCTTTGAGTCTAAAAAATACTAATTGGAAGTGATGGAAAATCCAATTGCCAAGCCTTATAAAAGCACCTCCAGTGCATTCCCAGGCACCSTGCGCAATTTGGGATGCACTTGGGAGCGGCGGTGGCTCTGTGGGAATAACTGCAGTGGGCAGCTCGTGTGCTCTCAAATAGGTCTGGGTGGGAAAAGAGAGATCCATCCATCTGGTAGACAAGCAGTGGAAGAGAGTGGGACTTTACATGCACAGGAGCAGGGGAGAGGAGGAAGCCGAAAGAGGAAGGCAAAAGGCATCTTCTCCCTCAGAAGAGGGGCAGGGAGGCGTCAAGTGGGAAAAATTATGTGGAACTTYGACTGTGGTTGAGTTCAATATGATAAACAATATTAATATGAGGCTTTCTTCAGCACTGTCAATGTGACTGTGCAATTACAGACGTTTAATAGGGCTTCATATTATTTTTCAGTAATATTTAAAAAATATTTATGTTTTAATGTTTTTTTCCCCCAAGGAATTATTGATATTCCCATTGCTTTTTTTCGACCTTAATATTGCAGTTCCACCTATTTGCAGGCCAGCAATCCAGACTAGTTGTTCGCTCACATGCAGATTTATTGTTTTAATCTGACATCTTTTACATGAGGCAATTAAATTTGTTATGTATGAATTATGTGAATTACATTTAGATAAGYTTGCGTATATAAGAAATACTTTTTAAAGGCAGTTACTTAGATTTTGTTTCCTCACAAATTGCATAAATGTTTTTGTTAAATGGATTTGTAGATGTAATTATTGCTGTTTTCTCCCATAGCTTGATATCCCTAACTTGTTACCTCAGTATGTAAGTTTGAATGCTAAAGCTCAGTGGAAGTTATGTTCCTGATCATTGAAAGATTGGTAAGACATAGAATATTTTGCTCCTCTAAGAAAGTAGGCATTTTAACAGACAAGAAAAGCTAGTTTCAATCCAGTCGCTTCAGTATCATGCTGTAATGTTCTGTAAGGAATGAGAAGGAAAACTTGGAGTAGAAGCTTTCCCTCCAGTAGTTTTCCTTGTATGCAGGCATCCTCATAATTTTTTGGAGCAATGTACTGTAGCCCTTTCCAAAAATAGCCACTTGAGAGACAAAATGTTTTAACCATTCACTGATACCTGTCATTCCCACTTTAAAGCTGAGTGCTGAAACTTGAAGTGACCTTTAYCCATTAAGAAGTGTCAAAGATTAAAAGAGGGTTTTTGTTACTGCTTATGCGTTTTGTGCAACTGCCAAGTCATACCAACCTTCTGGCAATTTGGTAGCCTTTTGCGTTGCCCTTTCCTTAGAAAACACTACAGTTATTTTACGTCAAGCATACAGTTTTACTAATAACTTACCCTACTTTATCTACAGATGCAAGTAGTAACAGAATTAAAAACTGAACAAGATCCAAACTGCTCTGAAACTGATGCAGAAGGGGTGAGTCCTGCCCCTGTAGAATCTCAGACTCCAATGGATGCAGACAAGCAGGCTATTTACAGGTAGTAATGGACTTGTGTTCTGTCTTTTGAAGGGTAGAGTTTGTTTTTTGGGTTTTTTTTCAGTAGGCAGATGAAAATCAGATGCTCTCTTGGTTATATGGCTCTGTAGTTTACAAGGAAAGAATCAGATCAACTTAGTTTCATTATCAGTCTGTACCCAAGTAAAACTTTCCCTTGTTGTTGGGGTTCCTTATACTTCAGCACAGTATCAAGGTTATTCTAAAGATAAGGATAAGATCGTTTAAGGATCAAGTGCAGTTTAGCAAGTTATTCAAGCTGTTGAACTATGATCACAGTTTTTCATACTGCAGTTTTTATCTTTAATCTCACTTTAATTTTTATTGTGATTATCAATCTTTACTCCCTGTTCTTTGGGATTGCAATTGCCCAGTAGTTAGCTCAAGCTGGATTAAATGTTGATGTAAAACCAACCAAACAAAAAAAAAGAACTAAAATCTTCCTGTGTTAAGTGCTGTGCTGAGCACTAAGTGCAGTTTTGATGAGGTTTCAGTGTTCTTTCACTTTCATTGCTTTATACAATTGTAATTGCTGCCGGTGAGCACATGAAAAATGAAGCAAAAGACCTAGCACAAGTCTCCAAATAAGTGGATAACAAAGTCCTAGTTCTGCTCTGAGCCAACCTGAATGATTGCAGGGGAGGCCACCAAGAATAGCTTATCTACTGTTCTCAGTTTAATCAGTCTATAAGGCATTTTGTGGTATGTAAGAAAGACTTACACTGAAGAATAAGTGAATTTTATCAGGTTTGATCATTTAAATCTGCATTGATCCCATTGGTAACTGGTATCCCCATTTTTAATGCATTGTATTAATGTATATCCTGCTACTTAATTGCAGTTAATAAAGCAATATGCATAGTTTGTAATTTGTTCTGTTTATTTCAATATATTTTGCTGCTTTGCTTGTATCTAGATTGAAATGGAAATAAAAAAAAAAACCTCAAACTTTTGTTATAAGCACTTGTGTTATATGTTTCAGTTTCTTGCACAAATGATTATTAGCTTGCATGAGGTAGATACTTAAGTTGTGTATGTGTAAGATAAATACTTATATATTTTAACTCTTTTTCCTAGGCACCCACTATTTCCCTTATTAGCATTATTATTTGAAAAATGTGAACAATCTACACAAGGTTCAGAAGGTACAACTTCTGCTAGTTTTGATGTAGATATTGAAAATTTTGTAAGGAAACAGGAGAAAGAAGGAAAACCGTTTTTCTGTGAAGATCCAGAAACTGATAATCTGGTAAGTATAAATTGTTCATTTTATATCTTAATCATAATGCTTGCCTGTTTTTCCTAATTTATTGTCTCAACTGGTGCTCATATTTTCTACCTGGTTTAAAAAAATACATATAATCATATTATCACATAGCATTATACATTTTTTATATATATTTAGTTTGCTTTTGTTCTATTGTCAATACCTGATCTCCTAAGGGGWCTGTGTGATAGAACAAGCCTGCATCCTTGAGCTGACCTCGCAGGAGAAAGGGCTGCTTGACATTTACATTCACAAGCAGAGCCAGGTTGACAGGAGCTGGAAGCATCAATCAGAAMAAAATAATGTTTTGTAATGGATATCTAGGAAGATTTAAGTGTGCAATAAATATCCTGTGTGGAACCCCAAAGTAACGTGCCTGATAAAAGCTTCTAACCAAGAAGATTTTACGTGAGAGATAYGAGATGCTGCTTTGAATTGCCTGGAGTGCTGTAGACGAGAGCATGTCAGGAGGGGCACATATGGTTGCGAGAAAGGGGTCATTTTTGCCTGCTTTTGCAAGCAGGCTGAAGCRTTGTTTTGCATAACTTGATTCCTTTCCAAGTACTTTCTGACTGATTGTCAGTGTTCTGAGTTCTGRGAAGATGGGATTGAAATACTGTCATGAAAGATAGAGCTGAAAAGGGCCTTTGTGCATTATTAGACGAGTGTGAGAGGAAAGAAAATAGAGGAGAGGAAGGTATGTTGTAGAGTGAGGCAGGCGTTTGTAGCTCTAGCTAAAGAAAGAGGCTTAAAACGTTAAAAAGTTACYYTCTCAGCTACTTGTTACACCTCTATAAATGTAGCTTACAGTGTTCTTGACTGAAATATCTTTGTAGTTTGTGTCAATGCTCTTAATCTAAGTAAATATGAAGTCAGGTTAGTTTAAATCCTCTGTAGGGATGGATCAGGTTAATGTAACTTACTTTGTTCTAGATTGCCTGCAGGACCAAATAGCTCTTACATCTTAGTTGTGGAGCTGATGACTTGTGTGGTGTCAGGAACCACCACCAAGGTGGTTTTCAATGGTCTGGCTTGTTTGCTTTGCAGAAGGTTTTACTGTCCGTTTGGAAACATCTTGAGTTTCAAATGCGATTTTGGGATAGATGGTAGACCAAAAGAATGGACTTCAGGAAAATGGCAAAGCAGCCAAAGGAGGAGTCACAGCTGCCTGTTAGCTACCCCACAGTACCTTGTGCGTATTAAATAACGACCAGTATGTAAAGATAGTCTCAGTAGTAGTGTGAAGATTTTCAGTTTATAAATGAAGAAGAAGTATTGACCTATTTGGGCCAGAACAGATTTTAACCCACAGAATCTTTAATATCTTAGTCTTTAGATCTCCATGGGCAAATTTTGATGCAGCYCACCTAAGATGTACAGGTTTTATGATAACTTCATTTTCCAGGTGGAGGTCATTTTAATGTGGTAGAAAATCTTTTGGGCTTGCAGTTAAAGGAGTGAGTTGTAGACAGAATTAACCAAGTATCTAGAAGGTTGACTATCAGGTGTATAGATAATTGTAGAATAACTTCATCTCTTTCAGTCTGTGATGTGTTTATTGGTTTTGCCATTATCAGTGGCAACTTCTAAGGACAGTTTGGGCATCAGTTGTGAATTTAAACGCACTAATAAAACTTACTTTTTAATTTTTTTTTCCTCTTAGAGACTTTTGTGCATGTATTTGCTTCCTGTTCTTTACTCCAAATAAGAATGAATTCTGTTCCACCTTGAGCGGGTCTGCTGTCTTGCTCAGCTTCAGGTTATTTTCCTCATTTGCAGCTGAGTTTAACGCAGGGAGGAGGAAGCCTGTGTTCTAGTGGAGCTCCTGGAGCAACCCTCTGGAAAGCAACCTGAGGCCTGGTTCAGCTAGCCCTTCTTCCCAGTTGACCCGATTGTGGGTTTTGTACCGACCAGGTCTCTTGGTTTCTGTGGTTCTTGCGTTGTGGACGGGCTGGCTGCACAGTTCTGGCTGACTTTGCCCAAAATGGATGCGGAGGCCTCGGCCTAGGAGGGGCCTAACTGCGACAGCTGAGGTCACTGCTCTCTTAATCTGGAACCGCACTGGAAGGTGGCCCTGCCTTTGGCAGGCGCTCCGGTCTATAGGGGTATTGTCAGCCTTGCCTTGCTGTTACCAGATACCCAGTGAAATCCGAGTGTGGCTTCTCCTGCGCCGCCCGGAGCAGCTGCTGCYGCCGCAGCAAAGGGGAGAGCGGGAGAGTTTCCTCAAGCTGAGGAGCAGCTGCTCTTTTCCTCAGGCTCTGCTGCTGCTTGAGACACTCACGCTCCCACAGGGAAGGCTGCAGTTCTTCCCCGTGTCATATCAGTAAAATAAGCACACCATTTTTTACATAAATTTAAAAACGTCTGTGGGGCTGGAAATAGCAGGAATCCTAAGACTGTGTTCCTTTTGTTACTTGTCGTCCTTCCCCTCCCCTTTTTAACTCTGATGCTGAATAAGCCATGCACTCGAAGGGAGAAACCAACTCCCTTGACAACTAGAGCAAGCTGGAAATGTGGAGCGGGTAGGCTGGACAGCCACCTGCTTTCTGCCTCTGCTCTCGCCCACTTCTGCTGGAGTCAGACAAGTAAGGGGTGAACAAATAGGGTGGTTTGGTTTGGTCTGGTCTGGGTAGGTTATGTGCTCGAAGTGAAGCTCTAGTGACTTCAAAACAAGAAAACCCTTTCAGTGTCTCTGCCATCCGAAACTAGCTCCACACTGCATATAGGCTAGTTGTTTGGGTGCTAGAAATCCTGAATTTGGGGAGATTTTATACATGAATGATAGTATTCTGGCAATGTTTCACACTGCCCAGATACTTAAAGTGCATTGAATATTCTTTAAAAAAAAAAAAAAAAAAGAAAGAAAAAGAAAAAGGGGGAAAAAAAAAAAAGAAAAAAGTTGTTTTGCATCATCTGTCAGGCATGGACATTAGGTCAGAATGGCCAGAAAAGGAGGTCATTAAAAGTTGTGTTAGATTGTGCTAACCTGAGTTGCTCTTAGCAAGCTAGATTACCTTTCGTTACTTTGATGTTATGGTATCTGTTCCATTCTGAATTAATTGGTGGTTTCCTTCCTTAATAGTGTAAATTACTTTGGCACTGGGACATGCGGTGAGAATTCCTTGGAGATTTCATTTTAAGAACAGTCTTGGTCCATTCATGGACCTGTAAGTAGGTCCTGTAAATAGGCCTGACCTGTAAATAGGTTTTTGATCCTTTTTGTTTATCTTTATAGAGGCCTTCACTTCAAGTTACCAAGTCAACAGATTCCATTTGGGCTCTCGAAACCCTATGGCAAAGGGTTTGGTCAGTATAGAAATAATGACACTTACCCAAGTGTCCCTTTCGGGTACATCATCCATACAGAGAGTTTGCAGTGAGACGGATGGCAGCATTTCCACTAATCCTGATGGCTTCTGGATTGTGTCAGAAAAGTGTTATTAGGGTTCACCGCGTTTAGAAGGACAAGAATTTCCCAGAACACATTATAACAGTTTTGAAAGTAGAAAAACATTGACACTTCCCTATGCAAGGTTTCTTCCTTAAATGAATTTTTAAGAAATGCTGTTTGTGACATGGTCTGGAGTAGATTTGTTTGTTTGTTTTATTCGGCTTTGTGCAGCTGTTGCTGTGTTCCTGTTTTTTGGTGTGATTGTTTTCATGTGCTTAAGGCAGGGATGGTCTTGGCCTTAGTTCTCATGAGGTGTTCTTGAGCTCTGTGATCTTTGTTCATCACGGGCACTGAGCAGAACGATGGGACAGCCCCTGGTTTAAGTATTTCTCTGGAAGAAAACAAAAAAGCTGCAATTTTGAATACAAGCCTGCACAAATAAATGAATAAATAAAAGCCCTCAAAACTATGTAACAGGTTCCCTGAGGCAGTGAGGTTTCATTAATTTTTCTCTTCCTTTATTGGAGAAATGAGGTGCGTTTTTTTCCTCTGAAGGAAGAGCGTAGCACAAGAAAATGCAAAGTTTTGATTGATTTATGGTTTGTTTTGACTTTAATTCACTTCTTATTTTGTGTGTCAACTACAATTTGAAACTAACCTAGACTGAAGAAGGATCTCTTCTTATCCAAACACATGCTGAGAAATAAGTGATATAAATACAGATAATGGTTTAAGGGGGGAAAAAATAGTCTGACTAAACAGAACCGACTYATCACTAAGATGGTCAAATATTGTGCACCCAAGGATGTATTATTTATTACCTCAGGCCCCGCACAGCAAAGARTAGATGAGGGAGACTAAAAAACTTCTGATTAAGGTGTTTACTAATGGATGCACTCTCTGTTGGTCTGCTGCATATAGAGAATTTTATCATTTGTTTTGGTTTGCAATTATTGCAGTATTGCACGATAGTCATTAATATCTATGAAAGAAACATAGGTGACCTTCCTTAAATTTGCATAGGTTGTCATCTCATTTATTTATGTTTAAGGGCAGTTTTAAAGGCAACTATTGTAGAGGGCTATTCTAGAAGATTGGCATCTTATATACCTCAGTGATGGGCCATTACAGGCTCTTGGTGTTAAAAGCTCCTAAGAAGTACTGGGTTTTAACTTGGAGAAACTATGTGCATATAGGCATATAGCTGTGGGGTTTTTTTTTTTTTTTTTTTTTCCCTGCAATTGTGATTTTAAAGATTTTTTCCTTTTTTAAGATTTTTTTAAATGTTCTTAGTAGGAGAAAAAAAAGAGAACAGGAAAAGATGTGTTGGAACGAAAGTTAGTCATCGTGAGATGAGTTGACCAGCCTTGATCTCCTTAAGATGCTTTGAATACAGACTACTTCTGCTCCTAGTTAGGAGGAAAATGGCACCTTATCACTTAGTAAGTGGTCACTGGATTCCATGCTCTGGCCAGCTAAACAACCYTGTGCACGTGACACATCCTTCCAAATAATGGTAAAATGCACCAAAATTACCAAAAATTTTGCACTATATTCTAAAATATAACTAGTTTTATAAAACAGATTTTTCTTGGAGATCTAGAATTGCAAGTGTTRGAGGTGTCACGCTGGTTAAAAATAAAACGAGGAGTTATTTTGCCAGTCTCGTGTGTGTGTATTTGAATGACCTGGCTCTGCTGCTGCTCCTTCAAAAGTGGCACCATCTGAATTTGGTTTTGGCTTTTGATCTTCTGCCGTGACCCTTGCTGTCACCGCTGCTGTTCTTGTGCAGGATTCTCACCACGATAACGGTTCCTGTGGTGCTTGTGTCTTCTCTACTTCATTATTTGTCTAAGTGGGGTTTTGTGAAAAATGTTTAGTTGCTGCAAGCACTGCAGAACAAGATGACAGGCTTTTGAACCTCTCTATTCTAATTTTAGACATAAATTAATGCTAGCAGCTTTTGAGGGTTGGTATTTTTTATAGAAAAGTGATAGGACGTTTCCTGTATTGTTCCCTCCCAGCAATCTGTGTGACAAACTTAGACTAARTTAGAAAAGGTTCTTCTCAGAGGATGTCAAATTTATCCGTACACTGTCACTTTTCTTGGTATAATGCACAACTGAACCTTGCATTTCTGACCTGTAGACCRAGACAACTACTACTTACAAACTAAGTTTTGAAATGAGCAGTTATTTTCATTTTGTTCCTAAAATGTTTTCCCATTGTTTCCSTAGATGGTAAAAGCAATCCAAGTTCTACGTATCCATCTGCTTGAACTAGAAAAGGTTAATGAGCTCTGCAAGGATTTTTGCAGTCGCTACATTGCCTGCCTGAAGACAAAAATGAATAGTGAAACTTTATTAAGTGGAGAACCTGGAAGTCCTTATTCACCTGTGCAATCTCAGGTATGTTTCAAATAGTTATGTGGATTTTTTGCTTAGATTTCCTGAAGAARTTATGAATATCTTTTATTGCTCTTAGTTTGCAGAGGCAATTTCTTCAATTTCTCTTTCTCAAATCTATTATTGAGACAAGATAGTACTGTGCCTGGGGCGGGGGTGCACGCATGCGCCCCTGTGTGATGGGCAATTTGTTGAAATGTGGCAAAGCTTAAAGAATCACTYTTCATTTGGCACCCAAAACCTATTAGACATCCAGTCCTATGGGATGGTCCTGACATAGAGAAGGATTTGCCAAGTATTCTTGTCAGTCTTATAACTTAAATTTCACTATCTGCCATCCTTGCTTATGGTTTTGGTATCTGAAAGTGTGGAAAGAAGAGGCTGAAGTTAGGTAAAAATGACTTTTAAAGGGTGTTTTTGTATGACTGCGACAGTCTTACTCCAGTAGAGTCTGGAAGAACTGATTTTTGTATGTGGAAAAGAACAGAAATTATTCTTRCGTATTAAGGTATGTGTAAAAGTTTGCATGGTCAGTGTGAGTAACTTTCTGGAGCTGAGTAAAACACATTAGGCACCCTGTATACATACTATATTATTTTAAAGTTGGAAGGTGTTAAGGTTATAACTGAAATTGCTTTGATGCTTGCAATAATAAAAGCATGAAGGGTCCATTTCATTTTTCTACTTTTCCTTGTGTGTTTGGATGCTGCTTTTTCTTAGTATGAAAAATGATTTCTTAGAATCATTTTCCCCCTAAAATTTCTGCAAGTAGTTTTATGTCTTTTCTATCAGTTGCTTTCCTTAGGGTTTTCAAAGATATTGATTGGTGGTAATGAGAAAGTTAATGCAGGTAATGAGGAACCTCTAGTGAAGTCTCTCTATGAAGTTAATCTTGTGTGTTAGCTCCCAACATGGTTTCAGAGCCAAAAGAGAGCCAAAATTACAAAAGCATGCTTTATCTCCTTTTTTTTTTTTTAATTAAAAAAAAAAGGCAGCAACTAATTGTTTTATTTTTCTAGCAAATTCCAAGTGCCATTGCAGGCACACTCAGTCCCCAAGGGATTATGGTGCCAGCATCAGCATTGCAGCAGGGAAATGTCACTATGGCAACAGTAGCAGGTATGGCAAAGTGAAGAAAAACTGGCACCTTGCTCTTCATTTCTTCCATAGTTGTTACAGAAGATACACAATTGCAACTTAAAATGTATGTTTTTTGGGTTTTTTTGTTTTTTTAACTCTAATAATGGCAGAAAAGTTGGGGGTAGGAARCAGTCGAGTGTCTTAGTGCTTTCCGAATGATAGTTGAATTTCCATGTATACCAAGTAAATATATSAATAGAGGTTAGAGTTTAAATACAATTTTAATAGAACTTCTTGTGCAACACAACTTTTGCTAAAAGTCGTTTCGGAGACCGGGGTTATTTTTCATTCATTTTTCCAAAAAAGAATCTCTTTGAGAGATATATGTATAAATGGAAGTATTGCATTATCTGGCCTTCTCCTGCTTTATGCGATTTTGAACCGTGCCTGAGACCCTCTGAGCAACTGAGCAACAATTTCCTGAGCAACAGCTTTATTCAATGGACTGGTAGGGGGATATTCCTCCTCCTCGTTTCAAAGAGAGGAGAGAGCCAGGTGGATCTACTCAAAAGAAATAAATTTCAGCTTTGTGATTGATGTAAATGAATCTGAATGGAGGCTGAAACAGAAAGGGACCGTTCTTCCAAGCAGCTGCCCTTGGCCCTTCCATCCTGCTGCTGCTTTCCATGGGCACTGGCATTTCTGTAGGGCTCAGGGAATGACTGACAATTACACAGACAAAACTGCATCTGCTCTTGCTACTACACGGCTGCAGAACTGCCAGTGTCAGCACCAGCAAGAGGCAGCTGGGAAGAAGGGCAGGAGTGCCCCTTCCAGCGTTAGCCTGCACTTAGGTCAGCATGGAAGTACGGCTAGAGCACAGCATTAGGCATCTACATCTAGAAGGTGTTTGGGGGGCAGTAAGTCATAGTTCCTGAAATTTGTATAGCTGGACACTTCATATTTTAGAATGTCAAAGTCCACCCTTTTTTCAGTATTTGCTATGGACTGGCTTCAGCATCTCCCATTGAACATGGTCGGTGTTGTGGGGCTCTTCTGGTCCATGTTCTTCCCCCAACCCCATCCCTCAGTTTAGTGACTGTGTAGTATATGGAACATTAATTATTGCCTAACTTGGATTTATAAATTCTATTTTTGGGGAGCTCAGATGCTTAACTATCAGTTACTGCAGTGCAAATATTTTGACAATAAAGAATTTAAAGTCATCAGTAGGATCAGACTTAGGCGAGCTAAAGTAGAGGGAAACATATTTACCGTGTATTGTTGTGGGTGGAATAAATTTTAGTGTAGCAAAGAACACATCTTACGTGTCTAGTCTAAAATAATAATTGATATGTTGTCAAAATTGTAATACTGTCTGTCCTGATATATATGTTTAAAGAGAATGTCTGATTTTCTTATCTATGATTTCTTTGTTGTTGTTTTTTGTTTGAAGGCGGGACAGTGTATCAGCCTGTCACTGTGGTCACTCCACAAGGTCAAGTGGTGACACAAGCACTGTCACCTGGGACTATTCGGATCCAGAATTCTCAGGTTTGTTTCATCGGCTTTTTGGGAGGGTGTCCTGGGCTCAGGTAAATCTAATTATGTTAAAGGRTTTTGGTTTGAATCTGACATGCTACCAGAATGAGTTTTGTGCACAAGTGTGCAGTAACTGGTACAAAATTAATGCAAACACTGCAATAATAGCAATTTTACAGCATGGCATAAGCTCCTAGAGGCATCTCCATTGACACTACAGATCGCTGTAGTTTCTAGCTGTTACCATTCTTTTTTGCTGCCGCTGTTGATGGTGAAGCAAGAGTTTGTTCAGGGATGATGAAA